GGAGGTATGTTTTTGACCCGTCGTTTAATAGGCATAAATCATTATTTTCTATGAATTCTTCTATTTTTCTTCCTTTGGCATCACATCGGTCTTCACCCCATAGAGTATTCTGGCTGTTAAAATCACCCATAAGGATATATGGGGTTGGTAATTGTAAGACGAGTTTATTCAGTTCTTGAGGTATCACTGCATCATGTGGGGGGATATAAATTGAGCATAGTGTAATAGTTCTGTGGAGGGTAAGTTGTACTGCAATTGCTTGTAATTTGGTATTCAGAGTAATTTGGCTGTGTATTATATCTTTTTTTGCTAAAATGGCTGAACCCCCAGAGGGCCGTTGTAGATTTGGTCCGCATTTGCTAAAAACTTTAAAACCTTTAAAAGTCAAATTATCATTTGGAGATAGATGGGTCTCCTGAATACAACAAGCAAGAGGATTAAATTCAGTGGTTAAGTGTTGTAATTCTGTAAAATTTGTTTTTAGTCCTCGGCAGTTCCACTGTATGATGTGGTTGATGACTTTCAAGTAGGAAAAATAGGGATAGGTCCTTTATTTTTACATTTAGGTGAGAGGCTACGGCTACGATTAGTCTGAGTCTCAGTCATTTCAATGTCTTTTGGATTTTCGTTTTTTTGGGTTCGGTTTTTATCTTGGTTTGGTTGAAGAGTTATTGTACTTTGAGGTTTCTTTTTCACTTTTGATTCCCTTTGTTCCAGATGGGGGTCTTGTGTCTGACTAGTTTGTATGGATATATTCTTGGTTTTTTGAGGGATTGGGCTTTTGGTGTTATTTATGGTTTGGGGTTTATCTTTAGATATCCAAGTTAAATCTGTTTGACAGCTGGTTGATTGCATCTTTGGTTTGAGAGCAGCAGAATAGGTTTTGCTCAGGTTGAAGGCGGGAGTCCTTCAACTGTTTTTCGGGCTTCGAGGTAGCTTACTGTCTTTGTATGTTTGATTTTTTTGTATTTCTTTTTCTTTGAGCCAGATGGGGCAATTTTTGGATGATGCTGCATGCTCTCCAAGGCAGTTTTTGCATTTAGGAGCTTTGGTGCAGTTTGTGTCATGTTCGTCTTCTCCACAATTTTGGCAGGTAGCTTTATTTTTGCATCCTGAAGATCCGTGTCCGAATTTTTGGCATTTAAAGCATCTCAGTGGATTTGGGATGAAAATGTCCACGGTGACGCTTAGGTATCCAAGTTTAATTTTCTCTGGGAGTTGAGGTCTATTGAAAGTCAAGATGTATGTTCCTGTTTTGATGATTTGTCCATCCTTTTTAATTGTCATTCTTTTGACATCAATTACGCCTAGTTGTTGTAGTTCTGATGTGATTACGGCTTCATCCATATCATAGAGTTCTCTGGTACGGATTACACCTTTGCAATTGTTTAGTGAAGGGTGGGGGAAGGTTTTTATATTGATTCCGGCCAAAGTAGTTGCTTGTAATAGGTTTGTTGAATTTGCTTTTCTAGCACATTCTACCAGTATTTGTCCTGAACGCAACTTTTTGATGTCTTTTACTGTTCCTGCAATTCCTGTGATTCCTTTATGAATTGCAAACGGAGACAGTTTGGTAAGTGGTATGTCATCGGTCAGTGATTCTAGTAAGATAAATCTTTGCCAGTTTTCGTTTTCAGTTGAAAAGATGAAATCAGTCAGAGATTCTGTTTCCAAGTCTTGGTCCAATATTCGTTTTTTGGGGTTTTGGTTTTTTGCCATGTTTTAGTGTAGTTTTGTTCATCATCTCTGCTCCTCACCCTCCTTGGAGCCCTACTAGGGGATGTACAGAGCCACGGACATCCACTGGATGTACATCAAGGATACAGTGATGATATACTTGAGCATATAAACTATGTTTATACTACTCAATTGACCCTACGCCAGCGCCTTTTGGAAAGAATGAGAGTTATTTGGTTGATTGAGTTTCCAAATTTGTTCCAGGGCAGGTCCTGACTAGCCGATTGATTGGAATGGGCCTTTCCAACCTCTTGTCTGAGTGAAGTAGGACCCGAAGTGATGTGTTGCATACCGGAATTCTCAAGCACCAGGATCTCTTCCTCCACTGACACAAGTCGCAACTCACGGCCAACAAGTTGCCCCATTTGTCGCCTTTTACGATCAGCAAGGGGGTGCTAGGGACCTATTCTACCCCGGGTCCCCACGGGGGTCCCGGTCAGGGAAGTGACTTTTAATATTTTTTATAGAGGAACACAAGATACTGATTTACTAGATTCAGATTTGTTTCTGGATCGTTATGAGCCTTCTTCAACAAAATTTCATAATAAGACCTTGTGGAGCAACGGTAGTGCGTCTGACTCCAGATCAGAAGGTTGTGTGTTCAAGTCACATCAAAGTCAATGCTGGGAGTTCAGAAAACTTTAATACTAAAAAGTTTTCTAAAAGTAATATAATTTGAGTTTTGCTCTTCTAGATAATCAAAAATTATTTGATTTTTTGAACAGGGAAGTTACTTTTAATATTTTTGATACACGACAACAAGATACTGATCCACTAGATTCTGATTTTTTTTCTGGATCGTTATGAGCCTTCTTCCAAAAATCCTCATATAAGACCTTGTAGCGCAACAGTAGCGCTTCTGGTACCAGATCATAGGAGAGCAATAAACTTTAATTTTTAAAAGTTTTACAAAAATTTGCATGATTTGAGTTTTGCTCTTCTAGATAATCAAAACGGCATTACTGGATATTGCCAGGAAGTATGATAAAAAAGTGATAGCATTTAAAAATGGCAAAAAAAATGATGGCCAAAAAACAATGAGGGTTGTGTGTACCTGAAGGTCTAGTGGTCAGGATTCGATTCCCGGTCAGGGAAGTTCCTTTTAATATTTTTGATACACGACAACATGATACTGATCCACTAGATTCTGATTTGTTTCTGGATCGTTATGAGCCTTCTTCCAAAAATCCTCATATAAGACCTTGTAGCGCAACAGTAGCGCTTCTGATACCAGATCATGGGAGAGCAATAAACTTTAATTTTAAAAAGTTTTCAAAAATTATTATGTTTTGAGTTTTGCTCTTCTAGATAATCAAAACGGCATTACTGGAAATTGCCAGGAAGTATGATAAAAAAGTGATAGCATTTAAAAATGGCAAAAAAAATGATGGCCAAAAAACAATGAGGGTTGTGTGTCCCTGAAGGTCTAGTGGTCAGGATTCGATTCCCGGTCAGGGAAGTTCCTTTTAATATTTTTGATACCAGACAACAAGATACTGATCCACTAGATTCTGATTTTTTTCTGGATCGTTATGAGCCTTCTTCCAAAAATCCTCATATAAGACCTTGTGGCGCAACGGTAGCACTTCTGATACCAAATCATGGGAGAGCAATAAACTTTAATTTTAAAAAGTTTTCAAAAATTATTATGTTTTGAGTTTTGCTCTTCTAGATAATCAAAACGGCATTACTGGATATTGCCAGGAAGTATGATAAAAAAGTGATAGCATTTAAAAATGGCAAAAAAAATGATTGCCAAAAAACAATGAGGGTTGTGTGTCCCTGAAGGTCTAGTGGTCAGGATTCGATTCCCGGACAGGGAATTTCCTTTTAATAGTTTTGATACACGACAACATGATACTGATCCACTAGATTCTGATTTTTTTCTGGATCGTTATGAGCCTTCTTCCAAAAATCCTCATATAAGACCTTGTAGCGCAACAGTAGCGCTTCTGATACCAGATCATGGGAGAGCAATAACTTTAATTTTAAAAAGTTTTCTAAAATTAGCATGATTTGAGTTTTGCTCTTCTAGATAATCAAAACGGCATTACTGGATATTGCCAGGAAGTATAATAAAAAAGTGATAGCATTTAAAAATGGCAAAAAAAATGATGGGCAAAAAACAATGAGGGTTGTGTCTCCCTGAAGGTCTAGTGGTCAAGATTCGATTCCCGGACAGGGAACTTCCTTTTAATAGTTTTGATACACGACAACATGATCCTGATCCACTAGATTCAGATTTTTTTCTGGATCGTTATGAGCCTTCTTCCAAAAATCCTCATATAAGACCTTGTAGCGCAACAGTAGCGCTTCTGGTACCAGATCATAGGAGAGCAATAAACTTTAATTTTAAAAAGTTTTACAAAAATTAGCATGATTTGAGTTTTGCTCTTCTAGATAATCAAAACGGCATTACTGGAAATTGCCTGGAATTATGATCAAAAAGTGATAGCATTTAAAAATGACAAAAAAAGGCCAAAAAACATTGAGGTATGTGTGTCCCTGATGGTCTAGTGGTCAGGATTCGGCGCTCTCACCGCTGCGGCCCAGGTTCGATTACCGTTCAGGGAAGGTCCTTTTAAAAAATTTGATACACGACAAAAAGCTACTGATCCACTAGATTCAGATTTTTTTCTGGATCGTTATGTGCCTTCTTCCAAAAATCCTCATATAAGACCTTGTGGCGCAACGGTAGCGCTTCTGACTCCAGATCGTGGGAGAGCAATAAACTTTAATTTTTAAAAAGTTTTCTAAAATTAGCATGATTTGAGTTTTGCTCTTCTAGACAATCAAAACGGCATTACTTGAAATTGCCAGGAATTATGATCAAAAAGTAATAGCATTTAAAAATGGCAAAAAAAAATGATGGCGTAAAAAACAATGAGGATTGTGTGTCCCTGAAGGTCTAGTGGTCAGGATTCGATTCCCAGTCAGGGAAGTTCCTTTTAATATTTTTGATACACGATAACAAGATTCTGATCCACTAGATTCTGATTTTTTTCTGGATCGTTATGAGCCTTCTTCCAAAAATCCTCATATAAGACCTTGTAGCGCAACAGTAGCGCTTCTGATACCAGATCATGGGAGAGCAATAAACTTTAATTTTAAAAAGTTTTCTAAAATTAGCATGATTTGAGTTTTGCTCTTCTAGATAATCAAAACAGCATTACTGGAAATTGCCAGGAAGTATTATAAAAAAAGTAATATCATTTAAAAATGGCAAAAAAAATGATAGCCAAAAAAACAATAAGTATTGTGTGTCCCTGATGGTCTAGTGGTCAGGATTCTGCGCTCTCACCGCTGAGGCCCGGGTTTTATACCCGGTCAGGGAACTTCCTTTTAATATTTTTGATACACAACAAGAAGATACTAATCCACTAGATTCTGATTTTCTTCTGGATCGTTATGAGCCTTCTTCCAGAAATCCTCATATAAGACCTTATGGCGCAACGGTAGCGTGTCTGACTCCAGATCAGAAGGTTGTGTGTCCAAATCAATATGATCAAATGTGATAGCATTTAAAAATGGCAAAAAAAAATGGCCAAAAAACAATGAGGGTTGTGTCCCTGATGGTCTAGTGGACAGGATTCGCCGCTCTCACCGCCGCTTCCTTTGTTCGATTCCCGGTCAGGGAAGTGACTTTTAATACTTTTTATACACGACAACAAGATACTGATCCACTAGATTCAGATTTTTTTCTGAATCGTTATTAACCCCTGACGCATTCTCTTTGAAACAAAACTAGAATATTCTGGAAGAATATCCTTATCTCTTCCTGCCTAGGAAGAAAAGGGAAGTCAAAGCAGTCCTCTTTCCCTTTTCCGAGGCCATGTATAATAAAACCATTCATTCTCATTATCTTCACAAGATATCATAGAAAGTTAATTAAATTTTCCCACAAATCCCTCTCTTGACCTCTGAAAGAGGTCACACTTCATAACATTTCTAACAGTCACCACATAGACCATCGAGACAGTTACACCGAACAACTAACTAGTTATTTTTCAAACACATCACATTGATTTAAGAGTATATTGATCAAGTTTCATAAAAAAATCATCTTTAAAAGTATATAAAATATGCGATTCGTTATTAAGTTTAAAACAAATCATGTTTGATAGCATTCAAAACACAGTTTACAAGTATTTTTGAAAAATCTTATTTTTCTCTTCCTTCCCTTACTAACATGGATCCCAGCACAATCTACTATGCCGAGCCCAAACACGGAGCACCCCCCGAGGACAACACAACCACACCCGCCCAAGAACAACCCACAGTCCATCTGCCAACACCCCAATAAACGATTTGAAAGTATCTCCATTCCAGGTCCACCTTGCACACAGGCATCACAGTCTCTCTGACTATGGAATAAGTTCCTTTCATACAAATAAAACAAACATTCATGCATCCTAGATCGAAATATTTTACTTCCTTGCATTCAGTTTACTCATCAATCAATGAGACAGGATTAACGCTAGAATCAACTGAGGCAAGAGTTATGCCAACAGCGTTGGAATCCACAGCAACATTATTTTAATTTTGAAGACCAGCCAGTAAACATGCTTTAAGATCTCTCTTGAGTAACGTCCCAGAAACTGAGATATCATAAAGTTAAGCCACATTAAACATATCATCTTTACAGTTGTCTAATTTAAACAACGTTGCCATTTAGTAAATAAAATGTTTTATAATAAGTAAGAATAAAGAAAACAGCACTCCGGACCTAACTCCTATCCACAACACTAAATACAACCTTCCTAGTCTTCGGAGGGTTACCAGTTAGGAGACAGAGTCTCCCCCCCGGGGTGCCTCCAACAATAAAAAACTAAAATAACAAACTAAAACAACAAACAGTGACCCGATGGAAGGTCCGGCGCTAGGCACGGTCAGCTGGATCACTCTAACTAACCGGCGCGTAATTTACTCTGTCCAAAAAATGCAACTAAAGATCTCAGATGAAAAAACTGCTTCTCTGGCTGGTCCACAAGTCTTAGATTTTATCTTCACTCTTCTTCTCGTTGTCATTTTTTATTTTATTTATTCATTTATTTTTAAATATGTCCTAATCGGGAGCCGACAAAGGGCCTTTGTGACAAAACCAAGAGCAAGAAAGAGAGAAAGTGCTTCTCAAGAGCGCGTAAGCGAGAGAGCAAAAATATGCGAGAATGCGCACCAGAAGATGTGTGTGTGAGAGAGAGAAAGAGCAAAA